TTTTTTTTTTTTTTTTTTTTTGTCTCAGTTTTTGACATCTACCCTACAGTGTACAACCTATCATAAATTCATCACAGGGCTAGTTTTCAGAGTTGAAATCAGTGGGATATGTGTATTTATTTTCTCTGAAAATGAGGTTCAGCAGTTGAAGTTTAGCACCTAAAAGCAGAGGTTATTTCTGAAAAGTTGATCTTGGGTAATGATGGGTACTAAGTAATCTGTTATTTCACTCTGCTGTTTTAATCCTGCTTGGAAGCCAGAGTATTTTCTTGCATGATTGAAGCATACCTTTGATCTTTGCAGCTGTTTAGTTTGAAATTATATGTTTAAGTGTGTCCAAAACCAAATTTTCCAACCAAGTCCCAGAACAAGGTAGGTAGGTAGGAATCCTTGAGATTTTTCAGCAGGTTGCTTGTTTAGTGCAGCATATTATAGACTGAAAATTAATTCATCTGTGTGAGAGATGTCTGATTTTGAACCAATAATAATCATTTGAGAATAAATGAATAATCTCTATTTGAAAATAAAATAATACAGAGATTTATGTTTTCTTTCTTCCTCATTTTCCTTTTTTGAGCTGTCTTTCTTTCTTTTCTGAAACCATTCCACAAATTCTGTATGATTCTTCTAGCACTGTATAAAGTTTCAGTTTTCCTTAGCCTCATCTGATGTATCTGAGTTATATTCCATTAGCCCACTTTTGATAATATTTTTTTCTCCTTGGATCTAGTGCCATGAAAACCTGTAAAGGAATAATATAAGCACTGGTGTGGTGAACTGGGTCTCATTTGCGGTTTTCTCTGGGGCCCTTTCCCTTCTTTGAACCTGCATGTGCATGATTAATGATCTCTCTCTAAGCAAGATCTGACATACATTGCCACTGCAAGTTCCGCTCCGTATAATTACATTTATGCATCTGGATTCCACATGGTACTTTTTGTTTTCTGTCTAGTACCTTCTTTTTCATAAATTATATATTAAAAAAACAATAGAAAAAAATTCTTACATCCTATCTTAGGGTCTAATTCTAATAGATGATGAGTGTCAGCAACTTCTACTGAAGTTAATGGATTAGGCATTTGTTTACCTGCTTTTCATGTTTGTGTTTCACTGGCTTAAGATTCAGGTGTCTTGTTTCCCTGTGCTAACAGATTTTTTACTTTCTACATAAACAGTCCACTGGGTAGACTTCTGATTTTAGGAATGGAACTTAATGCTCTTATCTATCATTGTAGAACACTGCAAAGCAGGGCAGTCCTTCTGGCTAGAAAAAGCTCTGCATAAAACATTGTACATTATGTTGTTAAATTATGGATGTGACTGGAAATAATAGGCCCAACTCTGCTCTCAATTACATCGTTGTAAATGCAGAGAGACATTGATTTCAGTGGAGTGATTTCTGTATTTACAACATTGTAATTAAGAGCAGAGTTTGGTCTGGTGGGGCTAATCGTGATCTCACAGTGAAGTTGCACAGGTGTAAAAGAGATCAAAGTAAAACTTGAACCCTGCCTCATGTATCCTTTTGCAGCTTCTGTAAAATTATGTGCTCGTAGGCAAGTTTGCACAAGGTAATTATTACAGAAAATGTATCATGGTTCATGGACACATTTTTAACTTCTGCTTATGACAGACTCACGCCTGGTCCGAATAAGGATAATAGCAGGCCTCCCTTTGACTTCAGTGAGAGCAGAACTGAACTTGGTAAGCTGTCTGCAAGTCATGATTAGCCTTTCTTCCCTTGTGTGCACTCTAAGGCTCCCTCTACATGTTACATGTATTACACAATTCATTTAGATGAGCTACATGTGCAAAGTAACTATCACACCATAAAAAG